TTTTCTGTTTATCTACTGCATGTATTATTACCTTTAACCCAAAGGAAAAAACATGAATGTCACTAATCCGTATGAAGTGACTTTTCAATGGAGAATGCGGGCGTCGATCCCGCTGCCTCTCACATGCAAAGCGAGCGCTCTACCATTTGAGCTAATTCCCCGTTTGAAGATGCAAACAAAGAGTTGAAACACTCCGTATATTGGATAGAAATTGGTCTACATTATGTGAACTGAATTATCCTTTAATATTTGATCATCACCCTTTTACCTGTAGCACGCATATGTAGGGACGAGGTGGCCGTGTGAACGATAGTGTGAACGATGAATCACCTGTTCATTCCTTCTATTATGATTTGTACAACGTCATCATTTCCCATCATTAATGTTAAAAGACAAACATACACAAGAGATTATACTTTTCCTCTGTTTATCTACTGCATGTTTTATTACCTTTAACCCAAAGGAAAAAACGAATGTCACTAATCCGTATGAAGTGATTTTTCCATGGAGAATGCGGGCATCGATCTCGCTGCCTCTCAAATGCTAAGCGAGCGCTCTACCATTTAAGCTAATTCTCCGTTTGCAAATGCAAACAAAGAGTTGAAACACTCCGTATATTGGATAGAAATTGGTCTACATTATGTGAACTGAATTATCCTTTAATATTTGATCATCACCCTTTTACCTGTAGCACGCATAAGCAGGGACGAGGTGGCCGTGTGAACGATAGTGTGAACAATGAATCACCTGGGCGTTTCTTTTACTATGAATTGAATAACGTCATCAAATTCTATCACTATAGTTAAAAGACAAAGATACACTAGAGATAATACTTCTTTTTCTGTTTATCTACTGCATGTATTAGTACCTTTAACCCAAAGGAAAAAAAAACTAATGTCATTTTTCCGTGGAGAATGCGGGCGTCGATCCCGCTGCCTCTCACATGCTAAGCGAGCGCTCTACCATTTGAGCTAAGTCCCCTTTTGCAGATGCAAACAAAGAGTTGAAACACTCCGTATATTGGATAGAAATTGGTCTACATTATGTGAACTGAATTATCCTTTAATATTTGATAATCACCCTTTCACCTATAGCAAGCATATGTAGGGACGAGGTGGCCTTGTGAACGAGGTTGTGAATGATGAATCGCGTGGTCGTTCCTTCTACTATGAATTGTACAACGTCATCAAATTCTATCACTATAGTTAAAAGAGAAATATACAATAGAGATAATACTTCTTTTTCTGTTTATCTACTGCATGTATTATTACCTTTAACCCAAAGGAAAAAACATGAATGTCACTAATCCGTATGAAGTGACTTTTCAATGGAGAATGCGGGCGTCGATCCCGCTGCCTCTCACATGCTAAGCGAGCGCTCTACCATTTGAGCTAATTCCCCTTTTGCAGATGCAAACAAAGAGTTGAAACACTCCGTATATTGGATAGAAATTGG